TCCACCCGGCGCGGCCGGCAGACCAAAAGGAGGCTGACGAGCCCGGGTGTCGCCTCCACCAGCTGCAGTAGAGAAGTCACTGGCGCTGCACGAGACGCCTGTCCAGGCCCTGTGCTCCCTCCGCCACCAGTCTGCACGCCACCCCTGCCACCTCCGCCGCCAACGCCTCCACCGCCGCCGCCACCGTACCCTGACCGCCCCTCTTGCCACCTCTACCTCGAGACCGCGAAGAAGTCGTAACAGCAGCTGCGGTCACGTCAGTAGCGGCAGTGGCTAGAGAGGGTGTAAAGGTGGGCAGCTGAGGGATAGTGCACCCGTGGAACAGTGGAGGGGGCACAACACCAGAGGTGGAGGCTACGGAGCGGAGGTTGCTCTCGACGTCCTTGAGCGCAGACTCGAGGACCTCGATAGTGAGCTCACTAGGGTGCTTCAGAAGAAGCGTGTCACGCACTGAGGCAAGGCGGTCACGGAGGCTAGTGGCGATGAAATAGATATTAATCGCCATGGGGGGAGGAAGCAGTGCAAGCTGTGCCTCAGTGCAAGCAGCGCGGTAGCTAGAATCAAGCGAGCGGAGGTGAGCAATAAAGTCAGCAGAGTGCTCAAAAGAGGTGAGGTCACGGAACAGGAACGGTAGGAAGAGTCGGCCAAGAGAGACAGTGGTGGGAGTAGCGTAGCAGGCCTTAATTGCAGTCAGGAGCTCACTAGCAGTGCGAACCTGAGTGAAGTGGGCCCCTCAGACTCAGGGAGGAGGCTGCTAAGAGCGATGCAGGCCGCAGCGTCACGCGACTTCCACGCCGTCAGGTCAGCACGTTGGTGGGTGAAGCGGTCCCTGGCTGCATCGTCAGGGGCGAGGTCTAAAGGTGTAAGGAAGCTGGAAGGTCACCAGTAGCGTGCGCCCAAAGGGACTCGCTCGCCTGAACCTGACTCTCTAAAAGGCGACGCGCGCGTAGGACCTAGACCGGAAACTCCAGCGGTCTACCGTCAGCGTCAAAGCGAAGAACCTTAGGGGTCGCCATATTGTAAGTAGAAGCGACAAGTCCGTGGTGGGTGGCACTGGTAGGGACTCTGGGCAGCTAGGGCAACTCCGTGGCGGGCGCAACGGGGCAAGGGCGGTCCCGCAGCAGACTGAACAAGTAGGCGCAGCGGTGCGAAGGAAAGGCCTAACGAGCGGGCCCATAGCGGACCTAACGAGGAGCGCGGCGGCTGGCGGAACTGGCAAGCGCGGCGGCTGTAAGGGAGGGCCCACGGCGGCTATAAGGGAGGGCCCGCGGCGTGCCTAACAAGCAGGCGCGGCGGCGTGCGGTACGGGCAGGCGCGGCGGCTGTAAGGGAGGGCCCGCGGCGGCTGTAAGGGGGCCCGCGGCGGGCCTAGTAGGCGCGGCGGCGGGCGGTACGGGCAGGCGCGGCGGCTATAAGTGAGGGCCCGCGGCGGCTGTAAGGGAGGGCCCGCGGCGGGCCTAACGAGCAGGCGCGGCGACGAGACGAGCAGGGCGCCGCGGCGACGAAATGCGGGGCGCCGCGGCGATGGAAATAAAGGGCGCCGCGGCGACGGACGCGGCGCGCGAGCGGGGCGTTTAGGGTCCCACTGGATCCTAACCTAGGTGATACCATGTCAAGAATGAAAGTGTTTGTGTTATTGATAAGGGTTGGGGTACATATAGCAAACCCTAACATTTGTACCCCCTAAGACAAACTTTACTACAGGCTACAACATTTGACAGCTTGCTCTTGCTAGGTTGTGATCACTGTACTGCTTGTGCTTTTATAACTCCGCAGGTGAACTGGCCTTGTGGCCGCTTGCTTGTGCTCAGACCGCGTGGTGATCTTGAAATCCACCGTGAGTTTTGTTTTATTTTGTTCTCTTTCTTGACTGGTCTTGTGACCGTTGGTTGTTCTTGATATCCCCCATTTCGCCTATGGGGGTGTGTCAAACTATGTTTCTATGTTGTAGGTTGTAGTGGGATAGCCTCTACTGTGTACAACACTTTAGGGTTAGACATTGCCCTACTTGTACTCATCCTTGCTTTCTAGTCACCCATTCTTACCTGTTATTTCTGACACATTACAAGTACTAAATTCCGGATTTGTAACAAATTTGTCAAGGTTTTCCAATTTTGATACGAGGTTGGCCTGATATGGGGTCGTAGGAATACGCTCGTTAGGATACAAGCGCATATGCCAATTTAAATGATGCGCTTTTTCCAAGGGGACACCGAATCATTCGGTATATGGTGCACGATGCCAGTACCATAATTGAACATACACCTTTTTTTTTTTCATATACAAATATCCGAAAATGCTAGGGATTTACCGTACAACAATCTAGGGAGGGGATTTACTACTATCTAGGGGATTTACACCCTGTACCAAGATTTGAGTTCAGGCTCAAGAAACTCTGGGCCAACAAGTAGCCTCATTTTGCTGCATGAAAGCGAGGTGAGTTAGTAAAGCCTAAATGGGGGCGCCCCCTTCAGAGACAAGTCCAAGGTAATCATCCTTGATGGTCCCAATGCAGAACTGCACGAGGGAAAAGAAGAGGATCAAAGAAGGAGAAACGGGCATGTGTGTGCGTGCGTGCGTGTGTGTGTGTGTGTGTGTGTGTGTGTGTGTGTGTGTGTGTGTGTGTGTGTCTGTGCGTGTGTGTGTGTTTGTGTGTGTGCATGTGTGTGTGTGTGCACGCGCGCGTGCATGCAAGTCTGTGTGAGTGTGTGTGGGGTGGAGAGGGTTGCGGTGCACATGCGCATGTGTGCTTGTCATCCTTGACAGGCCCGACCGAGACCTGACTGAGATTCGTTTAACACATGGAACGATAGGAACCGTTGATTGAACACATCAACTCATAGCACTTGACTCAACTCAACACCCTTGTGTCAACTCATAGAACCTAACTCACCTACTCCGTGTCACCTGTACCACGATATCCAAAATCCGCTCCTTTGTATGTACCCGTCGCATGCAAATCACGACAATACTCGACTCGAGGTGACTTGATCAAGTCAACTCAAAATTCACTCCTGGTCATGTAAAGCATGACATTCAGAATCCCCTCCTTTCTACCCCATCGCATGTAGACTTGCAATCGCACTCAACCCACAATCGCATCCCATTTGCAATCTCACCTGCCTCGCAATCTCACCTGCCTCGCAATCTCACCTGCCTCACACCCAAGTATCCATTGTTTTCAACCACACGTCACTGTCCGTCCAATACATGCCATTTTGAATCAACTTCGCTGCCTCAAGCCCCACCCCTGGAGACTCATAGACTCAGCCACATACATGGGTGCTGCTCACATGGATGGGTGCTGCTCACATGGATGGGTGCTGCTCACATGGATGGGTGCTGCTCACATGGATGGGTGCTGCTCACATGGATGGGTGTTGCTCACATGGATGGGTGTTGCTCACATAGATGGGTGTTGCTCACATGGATGGATGCTGCTCACATGGATGGGTGCTGCTCACATGGATGGGTGCTGCTCATACCCCTGTGCCTACTGTTTCAGACGCATCCATCTGAGAAGCACCCATCTCATCACTATCAATGATGACCCTCACACTCACAATCTCTGACGCATCCACCCGTGTGCCCACCATCTTCACATGCACCTGCACCTCTCCTTGTCCACCTGGATCTTTTGGCTGTCTTAAAGCCCTGCCATAACTCACCCCCCGCCACCCGGACTCACAATTTCTGTGGCGTCCACCCGCGTGCCCACTATCTTCAGCCGCACCTCACTGTCCGCCTGGATTTTCACCTGAGTGGCGACAGCCGGGCAACAGCGACAGCCGGGCAGCAGCAACAGCAGGGAAACAAAAGCATGAGCAGGCAGTGATTGGGAGTAGGAGCGATGGAGAAAAAAAAGGGGTCACCATGCCATCCACCGTATGCTTCCATGTATTACTGCACGTCGCCGCACTGATGACGGCGTCCTATCACAGCGTCTCACCGCATATCACATCACCGCGTCTCACCACATATCACCACATATCACAGCGTGTCACTGCATATCACATCACAGCGTCTCACCGCATATCACATCACAGCGTCTCACCGCATATCACATCACAGCGTCTCACCGCATATCACATCACAGCGTCTCATCGCTTATCACATCACAGCGTCTCACTGCATGTCACACCACAGCGTCTCACCTATCACCGCGTTCTCACCTATCACCGCGTCTCACCACATATCACCACGTAGCACTGCATCTCACCGTGCCGTCTTCTGTCTGGTAGCTGTTGATGTCGCCAGGTGTGAAGGACATGTCGTCAGGAATGAGCTGAGGACAGAGAGAAGAGACAACGTGCACATGCACCACCACAATGCACATGCACCACACACACACGTGAACGTGTGAGCACAACTGATGTTAACACCAATACATGCATCAGCAGACGTGATCTTGCATCAGCAGACGTGATCTTGCATCAGCAGACGTGATCTTGCATCAGCCAGACGTGATCTTGCATCAGCAGACGTGATCTTGCATCAGCAGACGTAATCTCGTACAATTTGTGAGCCACCTCGATTTAGGTGCCTCCGGAAAATTTAATATGTACGATTGTTGCAGGCGACTAAGACGAGCTCATCTCGCATGATTCATGCACCGCATGCCAAACAAGTCATCTGACACGCCTTCTGAGGCTCATCATGAACAAGTCATCTTTTACCAGCATTATAAATGGTTGGACACAACTATTTGCATGGGGCGTGGTTGAGCAATGAATGAAGGCCATATGCAGAGATGAGTTTTGAGAGGAGTCAAGCACTGCGACTCACATGGTTGGACACAAATATCTGCAACGGGGCCTGCTTCAGCAAAAGAAGCCCATCTGCAGACATGGAAGGAGGGTGGCGCCAGGGGGGGGGGGGGAGGGGATGGGTTTGCAGAGGCAGTGCGTGGCAGAGGAGTTATTAGTCAACTTGAAAATGGGCTATGTGGGGCAGGGAGGTGGGGAGCAGTGGTTTGTTGTTGTGGTAATACGTGGCTGAGGAGGGATGCATGCTAGGAGGCGATAACACAGGACTGACCCTTTGTCGCCATGGTTGCGTGGTAGTACCTTGACTCACGTTAACCTGCGTTGCTGCTGCCACTAGTACCTTATTGACAGTCGTAACCACTCCCTCGAGAATCCCCCACTTGAATGGCTGGAGCACCACGCACTGGTGGCACACAGGGCGACCATCTTATTGACTCTCACTGATTTGTGTTGGACCGCGCCAGTGGTAGGTACTTTGTTGACAGTGATGAACACCCCCTCAAGATCTCTCCTTGAACGGCTGGGAGACCACACACTACACTGGTAGCGCACATCACCTATTGACCTCTCCTTGATTTGCGTTGATTGTGCTGCTGGTACTTTATTGACGGTCGTAACCATTCCCTTGGGAATCTCGCCTTTGAACGGCTGGAAAACCATGCACTGGTAGCGCACAGGGTGACTTGTGAGTCAACTCAATGGCCAAATGATTGACGCGATTTGAGTCATGTTGACTCGCGTTGACTTGCATTGACCATGGTGGTACCTTATTGACGGTGGTGGGCACTCCCTTGGGATTCTTTTGTTTGAACGACCGGAAGACCACGGAATGACTTGTGAGTCAGCTCAGTAGTCATCATATTGACCCGCAATGACCACATTGACTAGGAATGACCTGGTTTGACCGTGGTGGTACCTTGTTGACGGTGGTGACCACCCCCTCCAGAATCTCCCTTTGAACGGCCGGAACACGACACACTGGTAGCGCACGGGGAAGGTCACATAGCCCGTGTCGTCGCGCACTATCCCCGTGCCCACACTCTCCACTGTTGTCACCGCCACCACAAACCCATGCCGACCCCTGGTGGTGGTGATGAGGGCGATAAGAGCAGGGACGAGGGCAGGGGCATGTGGGCGGAAGGAACGGGATAAGAGTGGGGAAGGTCAGCAGCCTGTGTCATCTCACACTATGCCCGTGTCATCACGGTGCCTACGTCGCCACAATGTTAACTGTTGTTGCAGCCACTGTCAATCTCTAGTGTTGGCAAGGCATGGGAAGGGGGTGGGTGAGAAGAAAGAAAAAGAAGGGGAATAGCATCATCGTCACGTAGCCCGTGCCGTCGTGCACGTGATTGAACGACCAACTGGTCGTGAAGACGCCTCAAACCCAATTTGTGATCGCGCGCACCCCTACCCTACCACACTCACTCAATACAGCCGTCACAGCGCCGCCACACACCCATGCTGACCTCCGTGGTGATGATGCGGCACGGGGGATCGCGGAAATGAGGGGGAATAAGAGCAGGGAAGGGGGCAGAGGGGGACGGGTAGGCGGAAATGAGGGGGGAATAAGAGCAGGGAAGGGGGCAGAGGGGACGGGTAGGCGGAAATGATGGGGGAATAAGAACAAAGAAAGGGGCGGGGGGCGGGGGGGACGGGTAGGCAGAAATGAGGGGGAATAAGAGCAGGGAAGGGGGCAGAGGGGGACGGGGTAGGCGGAAATGAGGGGAATAAGAACAAAGAAAGGGGCGGGGGCGGGGGGGACGGGTAGGCGGAAATGAGGGGGAATAAGAGCGGGAAGGGGGCAGGGGCGGGGGGGACGGGTAGGCGGAAATGAGGGGGAATAAGAGCAGGAAAGGGGGCAGGGGGGGGCGGGTAAGCGGAAATGAGGGGGAATAGGAGCGGGGAAAGGTCACTAAGTCATGTCAGCACGCACTCCCTTGTGCCCAAGCTCCCCAGCGCTGCCATTGCCACCACCACCACCACACCACAAAGAGGTGACATTTGAGTCGACTCAAAGGTCGCTAGCCCATGCCCATGGCATAGCGCTTTCGAGAATTATATATGAAATTACGCACTGTGCCTGTGCCCACGGCCGTCCCTTACCATCGTCATCGCCACCAGAAACGTGCACGTGCCTTCCAACCCCCCTCGCGACATCCAATCGCTATACTCACCTATATCTCGTACTCTTTATATTATCCCGTGCCGTAATCCCCCTCTCGCTGTACTCGCGTGCACCTGCCTTCCACCTCCCCTCGCTATACTCACGTGCACGTGCCTTCCACCTCAGCCACCAGTTTCGAGACGAGCTTCTCGCGAAGGTGCGGGCCGAAGTGCCGCGGGTGCAGCTGGAGCTTCTTCTCCAGCACCACGTGGAAGAACATGGTTGGCCCGTGCTACAGCGGCGCTAACATCGCAAACAAATAGGCTTTGTTTTCGGCGGTTTAGGGTTATCAGCGCGTTTTGTAGGGTTGTCAATGGCGGCACGAAAACTAGCGCTTGGGTAATTTAAAACCCGAGTCTAGAATGGCAATGGTTCATTAAGTCTGAACTTGGAAAGCTAGGACGCGGTACATGTTTTGTTTTTTCCAGGATCGAGGGAATCGAAGCCCGTACACTGATTCTCCCACATCGATCGGCACACCGATGTGCACACAGTGCAAATCTGCAGCGTGATTGACACGCCGAGCCATGGGTGCCAGGTTCGAAAGTGATGGTCGGGTACGTAGGACTCGCAGAGGAATACTCCAACAACTTCCTCGTTAACCATTCATAGCAAAGCACAGCTTGTCGCTATCCAATCATTTTTGGCCCGCGACAGTAGACGACCACGACCGATTGCGGCTGTCACCTACGGCGCGATGTGCTCTCCGGTCAATCCAAACGCACGATCGATGTGTGCACCATGGCACAGCACTCGTTTACTGTACATCTTCGACGTTCTGCGAAAAACGGATACAAGGCATTGGCGAATCCGCCAATACATTGTACAAGCGGCATATCGATCCCCTTCCACAATCGATCCTGGCATTTTGAAAACAGGTGCCGCGTCCTTAGGGTGACCCGGGCTCTGGTCAAACCTCCAGGATCATCCTTAGGCCTTGTTTGGTAGCCCTCCGAGTCATACTGCGGTTGGTGGGTGGGATCTTCTGTTTCCTAAATTCAAATTTGATTAAAGCCCAGCAAACCGTTACTAGAACACCGAGCCTGTCCAGTGCAACTTGGCTACCGAACGCATAAAAACCCCACTTCAACCGCGTGCTATGACACTACCACGAAACTGTTGCGGCCACGCAAACCCGACAGTCAGTTGAAGTCCCTCCCATTTCAGCTTTCCAGTTTGTTACGATATAAAATCATATGAGAAGGCATTCCTGTATGCTGCAGGAGCTGACTCTACCGAGTATGAAGTCGAGGAGTCAGAAGAGTCGAAGCGACGCAGCAACCGTCTGATCAAGATTGATGCAGGCAGAAACATTTGAAGTGAAAAGAGCAGGAACAGGTTTGAAACAGGTTCCCGCGCCGCACAATTTGAATTCGCTACAATAAGGGAAGATACCCTTTAGAGTACATGGCTAGCCTAGTGTCAAACATACATGACATAGTCTGTGTAGGCTGTAGTGGGGTAGACCATTTGGGGTACAACACTGCTAGGTTTCCCTACTTGTACCCATCTCCTTGCTAGTTCAGCTATTCCTTGTTCTGTAATTCTAACATGGTTTCAGAGCAGGTTCCCTAGTGGGACCGGATTTTTTTTTTTTAGGGCCCACCACAAACTTTTTTCTGCCCTGCCCTAATCACACTGTCGTGCCTGCCTGCCCTGTCACGTGCCTTGCGCCTGACTACCCGCGCCCTCGAGCGCCTGCCTACTCGCGCCCTCGAGCGCCTGCCTACCCGCGCCCTCGAGCACCTGCTTACCCGCGCCCTTGAGCGCCTGCCTACTTACGCCCCTGGCCCCTGGAGCAGCCGCCACTGCAGCAGCCGCCCCTGGCCCCTGGAGCAGCCGCTCGTGCAACAGCCGCCCCTGGCCCCTGGACCAGCCGCCCCTGGCCCCTGGAGCAGCCGTCCCTGCCCTGCACCCTCGCAGCCGCCCCTGGACCCCGCGGCGCGGCCCCTGGACCCCGCGACGCGTCGCCCTGCCTCTGCCTCATCACAACGCGTCGCCCCTGCCTTATCGCGACGCCCTTGCGGGACCCGCGCGTCGCCCCTCGCCTCGTCGCGACGCCCCTGCGGGACCCGTGCGTCGCCCCCGCCTCGTCGCGACGCCCCTGCGGGACCCGCGAGGCGCGGCTCCTGCGCGTCGCGCCGCCCCAACGGGTCCCGGGCATCGCCCCCGCTCGTTGCGACGCCCCTGCGGGACCCGCGCTGCGTCGCCCCTGCCCGCCGCGGCGCCCTGCCCTACCCCGCGCCCGCCCTTTTGGACGGCCGCCCCTGCACCACCCTGCAGCAGCTGCCGTCGCGGCCCTGCCCCACCCTAGAGCAGCGGCCGTCGCGGACTGCCCCGCCCTGCAGCAGCTGCCGTCGTGGCCCTGTCCCCGCCCTGCACCAACTGCCGTCGCGGCCCGGCCCCGCCCTGCACCAAGTGCCGCGGAGCTCCCTGCCGCGGTCGCGGCCCCGCTCTGCCTCTGTAGCGGCCCCACCGTCGCCGCCGTCGTGCGCCCGCCCTTCCCTCCACTGGTGAGCACTGGCCTGCCCGCGTTGCTACCGCTGCTACTGCCGCTACTGGTGTTACTGATGTTACTGCTGCTACTGCTGCTACTGCTGCTCCTGGCGTGGCCAGATGCAGCTCCAGGGCCGTCCGCGTGAGTACCTCACGCTCCAGCAGCTTCGTGAGTGGTACGCTAGTTGGGGTTGTCGAGGTGGCTGTAGTGGGAGTCGCCCTGGAGTGGGTAGTTCGGGAGCTTCTGGTAGTGGCCACGTGCAGCTGCAGCATCGTCCGAGCGAGGCTCTTTCGCCCCAGCAGCTTCGTGAGTGGTATGCTCAAAGTAGAGGGTCGCTGAGTACTGCTCGCTGCCCGTACGTCATTCGCACGGGTGTTCGGACTGGTCAGCCTTGCGGGACGGTTAGTCACACAGAGTCCCGCTGCTTCGCCCGTCTGAGCGACGCTTGGCGCACAGAGTTTGGCGACGACGCTGAGCTCCTTGACTGGGTGGAGCTGCTTAGGCAGAGGGTAGATATCTTTGCTCTTGTCTATGATGCTATCCTCACTGCCATGTATGCATTGTCTACTAGTGCTAAGGGTGCCTGTCACCTGCATGTGCCGCCTGACCCCGGTATCCAGTCTGCTGCTCTAGGTGCTGATGAGTCTGCTACTCTAGGTGCTGGTGCGTCTCCTGCTCCAGGTGCCGGTGAGGCTGCTGCTCTATGTGCTCGTGTGTCTCTTGCTCCAGGTGTTGGTGAGGCTGCTGCTCTAGGCGCTGGTGAGTCTACTGCTCCAGGTGCTGGTGAGTCTGCTCTCTCTGGTGCTGCGCCTGCTGCGGTCTTGCACACCTTCACCCCTGACTCGGGTGCTTCCCGCTCCTTCTTTCGAGACCGCACCACACTCACGCCGCTTAGTCGGCCGGTTGTTGTCTCCCTGGCAGACCCCTCTGGGGGTCCTGTCCTTGCCCACTACTCCACTGTCCTTCAGTGTCCGCCGGCCCCGTCTGGCTCCTTGTCAGGTCCTTACCTCCCCTTATTCTCCACGAACTTGGTGAGAGGTGCTGACCTACAGGATGGGGGGGTTGACCACTTCACTCCTGCGAGTTAGCGAGTGACCCACTGCACGTGTGCTCGGACGGGCCGACACTTGGCCACGTTTACCCGTCAGCCGGGGTCGAGCCTCTACACACTGACTACTCAGTTTCCTCTGGTTACTATGTCTGGTCAGGTAGCTGCGTCGTGTCAAGTGTTTGCTGCAGCGTCCAGGTTTGGTCCTGAGTCTGCCCACTGCTCGTGTCGTCTCTTGTCTCACCAGACTCTCCTCTGGCACCACCGCCTTGGTCACCCTTCCCTGCCTCGTCTTCGAGGCATGTCCTCCCGTGTCCTTGTCTCTGGTCTCCCCCGGTCCCTCCCTCCCCTTCCCCCAGGGCTAGCCCCTACATGCGTTCCCTGCGTCGAGGGGCGGCAGCGCGCCGCTCCTCACTCCTCCCAGTTTCCTCCGACAGAGGCTCCACTTTAGACTCTCCACATGGACGTGTGGGGCCCAGCCCGCGTCCGTGGACAGGGTCACGAGCGTTACTTCCTGCTGGTGGTGGACGGCTACTCGCGTTACACCACAGTCTTTCCCTTGCGCTGCAAGGGTGAGGTCAGTAAGGTGTTGATCGACTGGATCGGCGCTGCCCGTCTCCAGCTCAGAGAGAGGTTCGGCTCGGACTTTCCTGTTCTGCGTCTGCACTCCGACAGAGGCGGAGAGTTTTCCTCCGACCTTCTGCGAGCTTTCTGTCGTGCGGAGGGCATCCACCAGACGTTCACGCTTCCGTCCTCTCCGCAACAAAATGGGATTGCTGAGAACCGCATTGGCATGATCATGGACGTCGCTCGTACGTCTATGATTCATGCAGCTGCCCCCCATTTTCTATGGCCGTTCGCGGTTCAGTACGCGGCGCATCAGATCAACCTTCAGCCATGGGTCTCCATGCTGGAGACCTCCCCCGCTCTGCGGTGGACAGGAAAGGTTGGCGATGCATCTGCGTTCCGTGTCTGGGGATCTCGAGCTTTCATCCGCGACTTGTCTGCGGACAAGCTGTCCTCCCGTGCTGTTCCCTGCGTCTTCCTTGGCTACCCCCCTGATGCGCCTTGTTGGCAGTTTTACCACCCCACCTCGCGCCGTGTTCTGTCCTCTCAGGACGTCACATTTGACGAGTCGGTTCCCTACTACCGTCTCTTCCCCTACCGCACTGCTCCCCTTCTCCCCCCGCTGCTCTTCCTCGCGCCAGGTCCCCCCCCGGTAGACCCCCTCCCCCCTCAGGGTCCTGCCCCCTCAGGTGTGTCCCAGGTAGACGCAGTCGAGCCTGTCGAGGTAGCTGTTGACTCTGGTGCTGCTAGGGGTGCTGAGCCTGCGGGTACCGGGTCTGGGGGTGCTGAGCCTGAGCGTGCGGAGCCTGGGGGTGCTGGGTCTGGGGGTGCTGAGCCTGGTGGTGCTGAGTCTGGGGGTGCTGAGCCTGGGGTTGCTGAGTCTGGGGGTGCGGAGCCTGAGGGTGCTGGGCCTGCTTGTGTGGAGTCCGGCGGTGCTGGGCCTGGAGGTTCTTTGGGTGCTTCGTCCCGGCGGGAGCTACTCTCTCCACAAGAGCTGCGCGAGTGGTTTGCTCGGCGCTGGAGCCGTGCTGTTGGAGCTGGTGGTGCTTCCGGCGCTTGAGGTTCTGCTGGTGAGGATACTGTGGGTTCTGACGCCACGGGTTCCGCA